TGATTCTAAATAAAAACACGCTATCAGGTATCATCATCCTAGTAAAAACAAATTAACTCTGAAACACTAACAGAAGGCTGTAAGAAAGAGATGTGACATTTCTGAAACATTTCCAATAATGTCACATTTCTGAATTCTCACACAGTAGTAGCAGATTAAGTTAAACCTTCACACCGTAAGAGCTAATTTAATGTCATCTGGGGAGGTAAAAAAAGTTTAACTGGAATGAAAAATGCTGCAGAGGAATATTATGTTTTCTTGTAACTGAAAATACAGCCCTTTTCAGAAGACTAAAAAGAGTGTGCATGCTGGGGGGGGGCAGGAGAAGGGGAGAACGGGAAAGATTCACTTATCCCCTCCCTAAGCTGATTTTGTCAGAACAACTACACACTGTGTTAAGCAGCCATCGGATAAAAAAAACAGGAAAAGATCGGCCTAGAAGAAATAAAGACTGAATTTGTCCCAAGTGCTACAATATGTCAAGCTTTGGCAGGGCAAGGTAATTAACATAACTTAATGGTAATAATCATAATATATGAAGTGTGCACTAAAAACAGTGGGACTGGAGAGCACGTATGTTCTGAGTGCAAACCCTGACTAGCACAGAGCTGGGTCCTGCAAATTTTCTTCTTCTGTGATGGTGGCAATGACAACCTGAGAAAACTATGTCTGTAGAACCATTAATGTGTTGAACAAATTAAAAATATAGATTTTTTTTTTTTTTTACTCCCATGTGATAAAAAGCTAAAAAAACCCCCAACAAACCCAAACCTAAAAAAAATAGATGCTTTTAGAGACAAGTAGTGACTTACGAGAGCCGTAACATGCTTTAGAAGCTATGTTTCAAAAACTCAAATAGCACATTATCACTTTACATCTTGAAAGCGTTTGTTCATCCTATCTTTGGTAGGAAATGAGATGGCTATCTTGTAAGAAGGCAACAAACGGCTATGAATCTCCTGAACAGCAAAAGCACTGTGAGCAACCCAAAATCTATAGTTTGTTGTGGCCATTCCAGTCTGAAGTGCTACAAAAACAGAAACTCACCTGGTTTTTAAAACTCAAGGAACAGGAATCTTTTCACCACTTAAAAAACATGCATAGCGCCCCATATTCAAACATCATGGACTGTATTATACCTGAATAGATTGTTTAGCATGCCATGTCCTTAGAAGGCTGATCTGCTTTTGGCTTGTTTCTTTCTGTATTTTCCCCAAAGAGCCTCTAAATGGCCATTTACAAAGCATCCCAACTAGGCAAAAAGCAGACAGTGAAGACAACAGTTCCACTGCCCAGGGTTCTGTGAGAGTAACTAGGTGGGGAAGAGAGATCAAATAATTAAGAGTGGGAGGGAAACCCTAATTGGGATATAGCTGTGACACTGTCTGTCAGCAACCACCCTGTCCACATTAAGAAATCAATGTTTCTACAGACATTTCTCAATGACCCAAACGAACATCTGAGTTATTTGTGAAAACAAAGGCCTGATAAAAATCAATACCAAAAAGAGAAAAGTAGCCTAAAAGCATACAAATAAATATGAATAAAAATGGGATTTTAAGAGAACTGTATTTTAACAAAGCATTTTCATACTATGAACTCAGAGCTTTTCCAGCATTAATCTACCTTCTGTTTGTTACACTGTACCACAGTAAGATAACTTACATGCTACGACCCCTAACCACACCATCCACATTCTGCTTCAACTCAATTACAAAAATATAAGATAGCTTAGTAACACATTTGATTAAAAGACAAAGACATGAGCTCAGATACCCATATTATCTGCCCCAAAGAAACTGAGTAAGATTTTTAGAAAAGGGGTAGACCGACAAGTATTTTTTATAAAGGGGTTCATAACTCCAGGGCCCCCTTATCACAACACGAATAGTAATAAACAAACAATAGTTGCCAATACATTAGCAGCATAAAGAGCTCTGCCCTCAATTAGAACCAAATGCATGTCTCTATACAGACGTATCCACTTCTTTGCTCATGCAATTGCTGCTTTTTAAATACAGTACTTCGTACTATTGCAGTCTTTTAGAGGGCTCTTTGGAGAAGCAGAAATATCTGTGCACTTCTTATGGAAGTACTTGTAAAAAGAAGAAAAATTTAGTATGTTGTTAAAGAGACTGTACATGGGTTAAATGTATCTTAGCTTTATTTTTAACAGAAATAAAGATTTCCATCACTTATAGCTTCCTCAAGCTAAAGTCATTTGTAGACATGCAGTGTCTACAATAATTATATTTTCTCATGCGGGCTATTTTGTTTTATTGTTTTTCTTTAGCCTAATATGACCTAAAATATATTGAAGAATTTTTTAACAGAACTCCAAATAGTTAAACCTTTACTTAAACATTTTCATAAATAAAAATTTTAAATTAATCAACTCTACATTCTATCTATTTATGTATTAAAAGTTTAGAGCATAACTAAAAATCCACCTGTACGTGACAAAAGAGCATTAGGAATAAAAGAAGAAAATAAAAACCCAACAGAATTAGTTAACCATTCTGTAACTTAAAGGCCAAAACATCCAACAAGCCAAACGAAAACAATCTAGCTCACACTAAACACAGGTGAAGATCCTGCTGTTACATAAAGCACAAATACATTTTGATTACTTAGCAGTTCAAGGCTATCCCCTGTAGTCTTACATAAAAATCATCCAAGTTCATGCATTGTTTAGGTTTATTGGCAGTAACAATTATTGACATCACATGCAGCTGACTAGACTAACTGGGGGGGGGGTTGGGGGAGTGGTTTTGGAGGGTTTGTTTTGGTGGTTGTTGTTGGGGAAGGAATGTTTTGTGGGGGTGTTTTGTTCAGGGTTTTTTTTTGGGGGGTTGGGTTTGGTTTTTTGGTGGGTTTTTTTTTGGTGGTGTTTTGTGGGGGTTTTTTGTGGGTTTTTTATTGGTTTTGTTTTGTTTTGTTTTTAAAAACAAACCACAAGGAAAATAAAACCTAGGTACTGTAATCCAACCGAGTGCTGCATAACTGCCGCTCAGGAATCTTTAAATCAATCCATTAATGCACTGTACGTGTTCCCAGCAAAAGATGAATCGTAGAACCCCTCCACCCACTGCTGTATCTCATGTATTGGGATAGGGAGGCAAAGAGAGCAACAAGGGACGTAATCTTTAAGACTGGAAGTTTAGAGAGAAAGCCACATATGAAGTACTGTTTATTAACCCTCCTAATGATGAAAAACTTAATTTACTGCACCTGATTTACTAGATGGTTGTTTAATTTTCATGAATAACACTCAATTTATATTCTGCTTATGTATATAAACAAATGAAAGATTCTTCAACTCAGCAGATTTTTACTTTTTTTAAAAAAAGAAACAACAGAACAGCACATAAAAGATGTAAAATAAGACTATCAAAGACTTAAGAGAAAAAATAATTGCATGAAATTATACTCTATAATATTCTAGACAGGTGAAGAGCTGCATCAGCCTCAGATTTCCCATCTGCTTACACCTTGGCTAAACAGAAGTGAGAAGTTCATCATATTGCATCACCACTTCAACAAAACACACACCAAAAAAAAAAAAAAAAAAAAAAAAACACCACCAAACCAAGCCAAAACACCACCACTCACACCACAAATGCTCCTGAAACTAAATTCTAAGTTCTGGTATCTTAAATGCAAAACTATTTTTTATTGTAGAAATTCACAGTAAAATGTAAGGAAGTATCAAGACATTTTTGTTCCTCTAACTGTATCCTTTCTGGACAGCTGTCAAAATCCCATTTGGCAAATTCTTCCAAAACAACATTGTAAAGCTAACGTGGATTAGAATTGACAGTTTACTTTCAAACATTTTTTTAAATGAGAACCTCAAGTGACAACAAAAGTTACCTATGTAGCTCATTCATATTTAGCCATCAAGCTTATGATTCTGCAAATACATGAAATGCATACTTAAGTATTTAATTCTGGTGTCCTTGATTTAAGCTAGTTTTCTTATGTACTTGAAATTAAAATCATTCTTTCATAGGAAAATTTTTTCTAAACACGATCTTATCTTTCTTTTTTCCTTACCCAACATTCTAGTCCATTTCACTACAACTATTCAAAGGTAAACTACAAAGTTTCAACAGTTTCAAAATTCCCTCAACAAACTCCTATTAAAGGTGTATCATACAGAACTGTTGACATATACACACTAGTACTTAGAAATGGCCTATTAACTGCTGTCCACAGCTAGATTATATAGGCTTCATTACTTCAAATTTGTTCATGTCACCACCTCCCTCCCACATGTTTTTAATCTTCTCCTAAAAGTTGTGTTTTAAAAAGCAGCATCTTAAAAATAGATTAGGTCCAATTTCTTTGTGTCCTTTTTATAATACCAGATTTCCTCCTTATCTTACATAGAATTCCAAATTAAGCTTGCTTTGTTTTAGACAACAAACATCTATCTTTTCCACTATCAATTAACACTGTAAATTGATTTTTAGGTTTGTACTACTTTTCCCTTTGAAGATATTCAGACCTTTGTGAAGCCTTTTAGAGAACTGACTAGCTACTTTTCCACTCTTTGTATGCCCTGGCAGTAGTACTCTCTGTTAAGTCTTGATGTTTGCTTTTAATACCAGATTTTTTTACCATTTTCAGTACCCTGTGTTCTATATAATTATTCTTTAATGGGATTTTTTTTTTTTTTTAAAAGCCTTCCTCCATTTTAAGGCAACATCAGCAAACTTTAAACTATCAACTACTTTCCACTATGAATTCCACAGTTAAATGTCAAACATCTGGTAACAGTTGTCATCGATTATCTTACCAAGCCTGGTACCCTTAAATATTTCAGCCGTTTTACAACATAAAAGGAATACTGGCAGGAGGTTAATAGGAACTGACCTACTCTAGTGTAAATGTCTATCTAACTGCTGAGGGGTTTTGATAACTGATTTTCACACAGTTTAACTGGTTCTTGAAAAAGGAGACATTATGAGTCAGCTTTAATCAGTTAAACAACTAACCTTTTGCTCTGTTTGCAGTTGGTCACATCTCTGCTTTTCATGGTTAAGTTCTTTTTCCAGTCTTTCAACTTGATCTCTGAGTTGTGCCGTTTCCTTTTCCAGAACAGAAGTTACCTTCAATAGCTCTTCTTTTTCTTTTATTATTTTTTCAATTTTGAACTGTAAAAACAACAAAAAAAACACATTGTTTTTTGGTAATTTTTCCTCCTCTTCATTCCTATCAAATAAATGGATGGCAAATTACTCCAGTGTTTGAGCACAAGCACAAAACGGTTGTCCTCCGACTAGGTCACTTTATAGTTCTCCCCTTATTCCCAAATTTCTGAACTTTCACTGCTTTAACTGATTAGTACTACATTACCATTAGACAGCACACTTTTCAGTGTCTTGATTTATACTCATTTTCTCTCCTTAAGTGAAGGGCCTTTACTGTTCCCAAGTGACAGCAACTATGGAAGAGCTAATTATGATGATGACAGCTTGGTGAAAAAATGGCTGCCAAGTGTAGACACACACACACGCTCTAAAGCAATGTTTGAGGAATTTCACCAAAAAAATGAACACACACATAGCCAGAAGAAAGGATTGGCACATGAACTGTGGCCTTTCAATATTTAAAGGGGGCTCATGAGAAAGATGGGGACAGAGTTTTTAGTACGGCCTGTAGCAATAGGACAAGGGGTAATCGTTTTAAACTGACAGAGGGTCGATTCTAGATACAAGGAAGGTATTTTTTTTTACAACAAGGGTGGTGAAACACTGGAACAGAGAGATGGTAGATACCCCAGCCCTGGAAACATTCACAGTCAGGCTGGACAGGGCTCTGAGCAACCTGACCTAGTTGAAGATTTCTCTGCTTATTGCAAGGTGGTTGGACTAGATGACCTTTAAAGGTCCCTTCCAACCCAAACTGTTCTATGATTCTATGAACAAAGCTATTGAAAACACATATGAAAATCTGTTTTTCTTTAATTTTAGTACTATGAGTACATATCTGAAAAGCAAAAATATCCCAGATGTATCTCTGCACTAAGTCTTTCTTATCCCTAAATTTTGAAAACTGTAAATCAAACACACGCATGTATGTGCCTAGGCACAACTGACAAAAGGATAAAGCATCTGATGCAAGGTAAGGAAACTGTACTGAACAGTTTTCCAATAAGCAACTCGTACAATCAAGCTGGTTTGGTTTGGGGTTTGTTTGGGGGTTTTTTGGGGGAGCACACATAACACGGGGGTTTGGTTGGGGGTTGTTTTTATTTTTTAAGTACTTTTCAGCCTACAAAATATCAACAAGCAAATGGAAATATCTTGACTCTGGATGTAAGCACACAAGTGTAACCACATCTATCTAGCAAAGAACATGACACACAGAACACTGCTTTAAATAAAACAAGAGCTATTTTAATACATTTAGGCACCTGCAATTATTCAGCTTGGTTTCCAAGGCTCTTCACTTGTGCACAAATGAAAGTATACTGGTTCTGTAATTTTTCTTCCTTACAGCGAGCACCATTTCACACAAAGGGTGTCTTGCCCCCTCCAGTTAGTTGGAGAACATAAATGGGAGAGATGGGCAACTATGACTCTCTTATGGTTTCCCAGTCTATGCTTAGTGCTATACCATACCTGTAACCAGCTTAAAATTTTTACTCATCTAACCTGCAAATGTTCTGAACCCAAATCAAGTATGGGAGAACAAGCCAGAAATATATACATATATAGGGTTTTTTCCTCCTCATTTGTCCAATATCTGTCTATTACATATATATAAAAAAAATAAATAAGAAGGTAACATTTTAAGAATTGTTGACTCAAACCTCAAGAAGTCCAGCTTTTGTTGTCACCACTAACATATCAGAGTTTCCTTCATCTTCCATAGTAAGCAACTCTTCAACAGGGGAAGAGGTACGAAACTGGAAGGGTGTGCTTGCTCCACGGATTTCTCCTTTATGAGTCACATAACAGAACTGGTAAAATTCTCCATCATCATTTGGCAGATAATATCCTATCAAAATAAATTCATATTTGAAGAAACTTTCTACACGAACATACAAGCCTCCATTTGGAAACAGATTATCAGATCATGTTTGACTTACAAATTTCATGCTCATTACCTCAGTAAGGCACAGACAAATCATCAGCAGAAAGGAAAAGTCATCCTACTTAGTAACTTTCATCACCCAACAATTTCTTGCAGCTTTTAAGACAAATGCCAAAACAGTCTTTGGTAACAGGTGCTGTATGTACACATCACTTCACATACTTTAGGTAACAGCTGCTGTTTATATATTTATGAAGTAGATAGAATCATTAGCAATCAGATGCCGTGAAGCTGGCTCAGGACTACATTATTATGTAACTGCTGTACAATCACAGAACAAAGAGTAAGCGATTTTTTGGCCTTGGAATACCTGCACAACCAAAGACAACAGGCAAAAACAGAATAACACGCAATGACAAGACATCTGCAATTTTACCAGGTTCAAATTTTTGCATTGTTTTTTTTGTGGAGTAACTACAATTTAGTTTTGTTATTTTTAAATGCCAAAGCACGGGAATGCTCTGAATGGATGACACAAGCTGCAAGGAAAGGGGGAGTGGGAAAAGTTTAACAAAGGCCTCATTTTTTAAAATTGAAAAAAAAAAAAAAATCTTCTAGACTTTGCAAGGTAAGAATAAATCATCTTTCTTGTAGCTATGTAATATTGCATGCTGATAGCAAATTATTTCAGAAGAATTTGTGTGTGACTATTCAACTGAACTGTTACCCACTAAAGTTTCAACATCAAGCCTCTTGCATCACCTGGATTTACACAGTAATATTTGTGGATGTTAAACAACCATTTCCAGAACTAATGAGACTTTTACCTTTGTTAGTAAATGCAAGAAACCAAACCTTACCCAGTTTAATGATAAGGAAATCAACTGGTTTTATTCAGAACACTTAAATCATCAGGTACCCTAGCCAACTTGAGTATGATACTAGCATAATAAATCCTCACTCAATGTTCAATCCAGCAGGTGACGTGAACCATTTCTAGTCATGTTTCAGCACAATTCAATCTGCTCCCTTTCTAACTTTATCATTATTTCTATTCACTGACTTTTATTCTAGATTTCTGGATTACTTTTCCCAGTACTCTTTGCTACTTTTCCTACAAATGATAAAACATCGCATGGGCTATACAGCCAGAACTTCTATCAGGCACTTCATGTTTCCATTAGTCTTGTACTTTACTAACTAGCTCAGGGAACAGTATCTTAATATTAAAACTTCAGGATTCTGTGCTTTTGGACCTGACTACACTTTCCTACAGAGCACTGCAGTTCAGTTTACCTGAGTCAATGCTTAAATAAGGTAATACTACACAGAAATTAATTCAGAGCAATCTACTTTGCAGCTCCAGCAGGTTTTAATACTGGTTCAGACAAACTGATTTTAAAACTACTTAAAGCCTGTTTTCTTGTCTCTAACATGTACTTGAGAGAATAGATTCCTGATTATTTTCTTCTAGCACACCTACCGGATCATTAAAAAAAAAGTTTTTTAAAACGTAAAGCATGCTGCACAACATTTACTATTTATCTCAGTTAATTAAGCTCCTATAAGCTCTACTGATCTCATCAGCAGCACAAAAATATCTTGCCAAACACAACCGGGAAACTGTCTGAATGGAGATTAAATCTGGCAGCTCTATAAAAGTGGAGGACTGTCAGCACGGAATGTAACAGATGGGACAGTTACCTAGTCTCTTCATGTGTGGCAAAACATTTAAGTACAAAGGACTGATAATAGCACGTAGAGTTCTAGGTTTCCAGGTCACTTTTAGCTTCAGTCCAACCCAATTTCATTCATTCAGTGAATTTTGGTAACAGTAAAAGAAACTAATGAACTCCTTCCAGTTCCTACAGAGCACACATACTTTTCACAGCCTTTAAGGTTATAAAACAGTCAGATCACGTGGATACGATAGAAAGTACCAGAAAAAAATGACTTTGAGTAAGAGAAAGAACAGCGAACTCATCCAAGCCATCACTATTTGCAGCTTTAACAAAACAACAAGCTAAGACAGTAGTCATTTCAGGACTTGAATTACTATTTTTTCTATGTATTTTAAGCAATAAACACACACACACAAAGACTAAAGCCAACTCTGGCAAGTAAAAAAGAATATAAGATGGTACATAAAATTCCGTAATTAGGCAGAAGGCATTAAACAAGTTTAATGGAAGCACTCTTTTTATATGCAACCTTGAACGTGCGTAGATTTTTGACATTCATAATGTTCTGTGGCAAGAAGTTCTGCACATTGACTGTGTTACAGAAGTATCATCTCTGTCTGGAACCTGTCATTTGGTATCTTGCATCGATGGCTCCTACTTCTTTAAATACAAAAAATGGATAATCCACTCATGCCATGGGTAGCTGATTTTAGAAACATAAGACACTTCCCGTTATTCCCCTTTCCCAGGCTGAAAAACCTGGCAGAAGAAATTTCTGAAAGTCACATAGTCCAACTTGCCACTCAAGAGACTGTTGTCAGCACCAGCCTCAGACTACCACGGCTGTGTCTAAGCAACTGTGTGGAATTCCCATCCTTCCAAACCAGGGATACCTGTTCCAGTGCTGCACTACTCCCTCTTGGTATAAAAGTTCTTCCTAACATCAGGCATAAACCTCCCAGGCCACAATCCATGGACATTGCCCCTTTTTATATTTAATGAGAAGAGTGTGGCTCTCCTCTTTGTAACTCCACGTCTTTATAGAGAAGCTACTTCTTAATTTTGATCTTCCTTATTGCACTTTGTTCATGTGTTCTACTAGATCTTCTTTGAAATTGCAAAGGGGAGGGTGAGGATCTGATCTCCACACACTGTTGAAAATGCAGTTATACTACAGATTTGTATAGTGGTGTAACATTTTGGTTTGTTCTTTATTTTTTTCTTAAAAACCATCAGTCATTTTCGTCGATTCCTCACTGTCAAGAGGTCCTCTGCAACTCTCTGACTGCTCTGAACCTTTACAAAACCATCTCCTACATTATTTATTCTTTGACAAGAATCACTTTATATTGAGAATGATGTTTAAAGTCCAGAGACTAACAACAATGTAAAGACACGATCTGTTAGTTAAGAGATGCCAAGATTAAAAAAGCCTGCTGATGGTTAAACAGAGTCACTTTCTGTATTTTAATAGTTTCCAGCAGAGCTTCTCTATCAGTCACAAATATTGTCCATTACTATGTAAAAAACACACTAAGTCACATACTTCCCGTTACAGTTTCCTTGACATCTAAAATAAAACTGAACTTCTTACAGTGAAGCATGGAAAATTCTCCTCCAATTTATGCTTGTGAAGTCTAAAGCTTTTATACAACCCTCAGGACTGTAATGAACAGATAAATATTTAAAAAGCTGTGTAGGCTGGAAAATACAGGTAGATACTGCTTTATATTCACCTTGAAAAGTCAGCACGCAGTTAACAGTTGATCCTTCCACATAATTTTCTGGCATAGGTGACCAAAGAAATGTGTAATAATCTCTTGCGGTACTCCAACCAACCTAAAATAAAATAAACCATAACAAATAAAAAAAAGTAAGAGAAAACATTAAGCAGAAGAATTTGTTGTACATAGTTAAGATATCATGGTCTGGCCTTTACAACATACTGTAATATGCATATTTCTGCTTCAACATGCAATAAAAAGATACTTAACAATGTTTACAAATCAGGAATATTTTAACAAGCATGTCAAAGATTTAGCATGGATTTTATTAAGCTTGTTACCTAAGGCAATAAATGGGTCTAAGGCAATAAAAGGGTCTATATAAATTAAAACACCAGACAGTTTTCACTATACATTAAACTGCTATTTGGTAATTTCTTTTTCTATAAAGATAGACATTACTATATTAAAAACACAAAAAGATTAATCCGAAGTTTATAGTGAGATTTTCTTAGTGTAAGTTCTGCCAATGCTGACTATTTTGTGTCCACAATCCAACAGGTTCATGAGAAAAAAAAAAAAAAGGAGGAAAGAGAGAATAGTGCTCTCTTCTACTGAAAAGGCCAAATTTGACAGGGCTAAGCATGCACTTTTTGGATAACTTCTGCAATACTAGAGACCAGCATTTCACTGGAATGCTAATTCTCCCTTACATACAAACTATGTCTGCCAGGAAAAAAAAAAAAAAAAAAAAAGGCACAAAAACCTAACTCAGCAGCTAAGCCACTGCAGCCTTCCCACTAACTTCAATAAACATCTGCTTTCACACTGTTCATAACAGTGTATTTCTGTACAGTAAGAAATGCTATCCTCTAAAGAAACATATTCCAACAAGCTTGCAATACACGCATCTACACCTGAAACCCAAAGCAACTACCGTAAAGCAATGGATATTAATTATAGCATAACAGTAAAGGAAAAGAAAAAAATATATATGTTTTATTCCACTGACTAAAAAAATTTAAAATACCAAAAATCTTGTCAAAATTTAGGTGGAGTATGACTTATGAGTAACTGGGTATACTGTCTTGGAAGAGTCAAGAAGAGGAAAGATGAGAAATTGTTTAACAATTTTTATGAGATAAGACAGCACTTCAAGGGAAAGAAGAGGGAAAAAAACAACAACAAAACTAGCAACCAAAACAGATGGAGTTACAAATCATGATTTCCACTACTTAAATAGACAAGACTTCTGAACTTCATACCAAATCCTCCTTTATAAAGTACACATTGCAACAGTGTATTTTAAAAGTATTAAGGATCAGGTTTTTAAGGAGTTGTCAGCTTTAAAAAACAAAATATCTTTAGATAGGCAAAGAGAACAGCAGAACTGAAAGTAATTGAATAGCAATTATATACGTATATAGCTTTCTAAGGCTTAATAAGCCTCAGAAATAATTAGCAACAGTAAATAAAAAATCTGGATACATTATTCCATAGACATCCATCATACTTCTTCACTTTGTCTTAAAAAGTGTGGGAAAAGCTAACATTTGGAAAAAAAGAACTGGTCCAAGATGACCAGGCCTTTCTCTATATTCTTAAAAAACCAAGGATGAACAACAGCAAAACCAGATTAAGTTTTAATTTTTGCTACCTAGTCACTTCTTTAAGGCAAATTCATTAGAGAGGAGCAGTGCAGACTCTTGAAGCATCCACTAGAACAGAATCATCTACTACATCTTAAGCCTACTCTTAGCCAAAATTTTTGAAGATTTCTATGACATCTCCTATCAAGGAGCTTTTAAAGATGTCAGTGAAATGAGATTTCCTGGGGTTGTTATTCCCACAGTTAAGTATCTCAGAAATAACACAAAAAGCTCTTCTGGTAACTTGAAGTGAGAGTGAAAGCAACTTATTTTAAAATTTTTAATTAAAAAGACCATTACAGCAACTGGCCCATACAATTCTGCTCGGTACATACTGAAAAAGGGCAAGTTGAAGCTTTTCTTATAAACATAAGAACTTGTGCTTCGTGCATGTTCCTAGTAATAGTGCAGGATTCAAGAAATCAGATGATTCAACAGGTAGGTTTGTTAAATACAGTTAGCATTGGATAAAGAGTACCAATCAGTGGAGTCAACATGAGAGAACATTTTTAAAAAGTAAATGTATTTACTTATTGCATACTCATAGTTTCTTAAACGCCAGTTTCTGTGAAAGCTATAGAATTCAGAGGTAGCAATACCTGAGCACAGACTAAAAAAAGTTTCCCTGGCCAGCATATTCCTTAATTTCATACTTCAAAAACTCAAAGGTAAGTTTTATAAGTTAAAAGCAGATAAATTAATTCTTGTCCTCCATTTCAGAAATACTTTCTCCACAGAACGATGTTCAAGTAGCAGAGAAAGAATATCCTGCCACCGTGCAAAACCTTTTGCAGCTGATGCTCCAGTTCTCGGGGTGATGGGGCTTCTTTGACCCCACTGTACTTGCACTGAAACAGCAGGAACACAGAGTCTACTCTGTTAAAAAAATTCCATCCTAAATCTATTTTGATTATTCATATCTCCAAGCTTATCTATGCAGAAGTCTCCAGGAAAATCCCAAAACAGTCAGAGTAGAAGAAAAATTTCAAATGCAGGCTATGTCCAGTATTTGAGAAGCCCTCAGCATGAAAACAGAATGCTCTAGTTTGTGTCCAGACCCTCTCTCTAGTACTCTACTAGAACATGAATGCATGTTAAAAAGTAAATACAGATGCTAATTAAACACTAGTTAAATGCTCCATAGAACTTTATCAAAAATTTGCGTCTATAAGTCTTTCTATTTTCACATCATTCAAATTCTAGTTGCCTCAAACAAACAAAACCTTAACAATTTTATACCAAACTAGAAAAGGGAAATAAGTGGTTAAGTACGTAATTTACAGCCCCTTGCAGTACTATTTATATTCAAAAAAAAAAAAAAAAGAAAATGGAAAAAAATACCACTGGCACAACACACCAGAAAGAAGGGCAAAGTGCAAAGTCTTTTACTGTTGTCAGAGAAAAATCTTCAGGCCTGTAAGAACAAGTTTGACAATTTCACAACTGCCAAAACAGCTGATAAGACTAACAGTGAGCACTTATTCATGAAAATATTGCAGAAAACACACAAATGCTTGTAAGAAAGATTCGCAAATTTTGTTTCTGTGTTTGAACTTCAATAACAATGAAAAAGATAGTCATTGAGAGAAATTATATCAATTATAAAAATATATTTAAAACCAAGTCCTCAATTACATAACTCCATTTTTTACTTCATTTACTGACCAAGTTCTAAAATTCTATAACTTAACTACTCAAGCTGCAACCTTATTTATTTACATTAATAATCAGAACTTAAAAGCTGTTTAAAAATTGGAAATGGGTGGAAATGTGGAAATCCACACTTAATTCCTGTTTAGGCCTCATGTGAAGTTACAGTCCTATTTTTCAATGAAGGATATACTATGATGTACTAAAATGTGAAACCAAAGTTTAAAAAAAAAAAACCAAACCACTCTTTCATTAAAATGCTAACTGAAATGGCACACAAAGAACCCAGATACAAATACTTTTATAACATGTTTTTTCCTTTTTAATTGATACTGTTAACCGGAAGAGAATTTGACTTAAAGTACTAAAAAATTAAAGTAAGACTTTCAAAATGAAAGCAACTCAAGTGAAACAGTATCTGGATCAAAACAGCTACAGACTTGTACAAAAACTCCGTTGGAATTCCTTTAATGAAAATATCTTCACATACCAATTAAAAAAAAAAAAAAAAAACACCACACAAAACACCAACACACCAAAGAAAAAGTATTGTCAGCTACTAACATAAAACCAAGTTGCAATCAAAGCGCTAAAGCTGAAACAAATGCACACTAGTACTTTCTTACCATAAGAAATCGTAAATAAATGAAAAGTTTCAATGGGACACACTGTGAAACCTCCTATGAGCCAGAAGGAGTACAAGAGCACAGTTTACTAGTCCAATTTAAAAACTTGGCATGAGTAATGGCAGACATTACAATATCCACATTCAAGCACACAAACACTACAAATTACAGAACTCCAGCACAAAACCTTCTGAAGTTCAGAAGAGGAAAAAGGAGAATGACCTGTCAAGCTACGCAACAGACTTGTTGTGAACTCTGAACACAAGTTTGTCATCTGGGGCGTTGACTGGCTGTGCTGATACCATTACATTTTAAGGAATTAATTGAAAACCCTGAAAACATTTTGCTCACAGTTAAAAACTCAAAAAATATTAACGTCCTTATTTCTTAGACAAAAGGGTACATAAGACTTAGATGATGCAACTTCCCTAAACCAATGGAACCAAAAAAAAGTCCATGTTAGAATTAGAAATAAAGTCCCTGCTAACCTGGTAGTCACCACAGTCTTTTATCTTCTCCATTTCTCTCCATTTAATTCTCACAAACTCCACACAGAAATCCATTTTTAAATTACAAAGCTGTGCATGAATTCCAACACTCTTGCTTTCCAGATGTTAAACAACACATTAATAAGCCAGAAACCAAATCTACTTTCACCTTCTCAACCCAATTTTTTAAAGCAAAAACATGACTAAGCACCATGTCTTCCACAAAATACCATATCCAGATCATGTTGTTACGTACAAACAACGTGTTACTCAAAAAAGCCTCACTATACTGCATTCTCCCTCTGTAAAACGGGAAGCTTTAATAGGTCATTACAGAGTAATCCATTCACTATATTCCTATTTCCTACTTTTGAGCAAAAATGCTTATTTCAATTTAGGGCATCATAAACTACTTTTTAGTCATATAAACCAACTCTAATCACAGTGGAAACACTGAGGCCTGATAAAGGTTAAACTGTCCAACACCACGTACTTTGCAATTTGGCTGGGCAAGTAGGGACAACTCAACTGTCTGCAATACTCACACCAGACAGGTTTTCCTTCTACTAATAAATAGGTGTATAGTCATCATGAAAGCTTCTTCTTGTTCTATGTTGCCTCACACATACAAGCCCCTTTCTTACTGAAATGCCACACAGTGCTATTAGCCTCCCCATATTTACACTCCACCCACAGTACATT